GCTTACAGTTTCTGAGGCTGGGAAGTCCAAAGTCCATCTGGTGGTGGCAGCAGTGAACCAGGGGTCTCACATTGCAAGATGGTGGAAGCAGAGAGAGAAGACAGAGAGAAATTCTCCTTTTAAAGCCCTCAGAACCAGGCCCCTCACCACTGTTTTTAATCCATTCACTACTGCATGGTCCTACAATCCAATCTCCTCTTTAAGGCTCCACCTTTCATTTACTATAATAGGATTTCCCACCCTCTTTAACAGTCACAGTGGGGGCTAAATTTCTAATACATAAATCTTGTGAGACAATTCAAGCTTCAGTGAGTTTTGGGGGGACATAATTCAATCCACTACAGTTTGTATAAAACATTTGATAGTCATAACAGTCTATTTTAAGCTGATGAGAATTTAACTTACATTGCATACAAGAATTCTAATCTTTTACTTCCCTCCACACTTTTGTGTTTTTTAATGACACAGTTAATCTTTTATAATGTTTATTTATAAACAAATCATTGTAGCTTTAGTTATTTTTAATACTTTTCTCTATAACCTTTATACTCAAGTTAAAAGCCATTTCTATACCACCATTACAGTATTGGAGTATTATGAATTTGAATATATATTACCTTTACCTGCAACTTTTATACTTTCATATGTTTGCATGTTACTAATTAGTACAATTTCATTTCAACTTGAATAACTCCCTTTACTGTTTCTTATATGCAGGTCTGTTGGTGATAAACTCCCTCAGCTTTTGATTTTCTAGGAAAGTCCTTTCCTAGTCTGCCTTTTTGTTGCTTACTGCCTTTAAATCATGTATTTTTCATAATTATAAAAAGTTTGAATGCCTGATGATTTTCTATGAAGTGTCCCTTTAATTTTCTGGATGTTATTCTAAAATTGACTAAATTTTAAAACATGGGGAATTTTGTTTAGAAAAGGCTAAATGTAGTAAAATACATAGTAGGTAAAACAAACCTCTAGGTTTCAGTGAACTTATTGTTAAGGCTAGTTATAAGTGTATACACATTCCCTACATAATTTATTTGATCTGACAAGCCTTTACATTGAGGACTTCAAAATGATTAATATCATATTTGTTTATGCTAATGTTTTATATTTGTTATCATTCAGTATAAAGGAATAACCCTTGGAAACCTGAGGGGAAAGCATGTATAATTTTGAAAAAACTAATGGTTATGTCCTGTTGAGAATTTCTAGAGATTTTCGTGGAGAAAAGGAAAGCTAATGTATTCAGCAGCAGTGAAGACTTGTAGTAGTCTTGATTTCAAATAAGTCAGTGCCAAAAAGAATTAATAGTGCATCTCTTATTTTGTGGGAAAATAGTAATTCTGAGTATTACCTAAACATTGTTAGTATGATGTTTTTAGTTGTAGTAGTGAATGATAGTGTCCAATATTTGCATGTTAATTTAGTTTTAAGATAAATTATCTCACTAGAAATTTAGTGTCTTCTAACCTGACAGATGAATAGTAAATTATGGTATAAATTTTTTAATCATCAGTGTTATGAAGATGGATTTGTCCTTTAAAATAATAGCTTTATGAAATATGTGTATGCATATTTAATTTTGAAAATAGTCTCTGCTATTTGATACCATGATGTTCCTTTTTTTTTTTTTTTGCAGCTGGCCAGTACAGGGATTGAACCCTGGGCCATGGTGTTATCAGTACCACGCTCTAACCAGCTGAGCTAACTGGCCAGCCCCAATGATGTTACTTATTATATGGAAACAATTTATATAAACCTTGCTTTCTTCTTCAGTCTTAAAATTTGAATATTGTAGAAGTGTGGATAGATTCTTATCACTCTTGATTTCATAAGGGTTAATCTGTGACTGAAATTGTGGTATTGAAAATTATAAACATTCTTTTTTATTCTTGGCTTATTTTTTTAAAAAATGAGAATTGTAGGGCCGGCCCCGTGGGCGCACTCGGGAGAGCGCAGCGCTTGGGAGCGCAGTGGCGCTCCCGCCCCAGGTTTGTATCCTATATGAGTATGACCGGTGCGCTCACTGGCTGAGTGCAGTGCGGGCGACACCAAGCCAAGGGTTGTGATCCCCTTACCAGTCACAAAGAAAAAAAAAAGACAAAAAAAAAAAGAGAGAGAGAATTGTAACAGTGATTGATGGTAAATAAGTGAAAATTTTGCTTTCTTCTCATCAAAACAGGTATATAAAGAAAGGCGAATTATTAAAGAAGACTAGTCAAGACTCACAGGGTAGAATGATTTCTCCCATAATCTCTTCCTTTTCAAAATTGTTTTAGTTATTTTAGTTCTGTGCCTTTCCATATGAATTTTAGAGGACTCTTATCTCTCTTTTTAAAAATCTTGCTCAAATTTGATAGGAATTGTGTTGAACATGTATATCGATGTGGGGAGAGTTGACATGTTTACTACATTGACTCTCCCAATCTATGGACCCAGTACATCTGTCCATTTACTGAGATCTTTTTTGTTTCTTAGCATTCTGTCTTTTCTGTACATGTTTTGTTAGATTTATACCTATGTATTTATACATTTTTTGTGTAGTGGTAAATGATACTGTGTTTTTAAATTTGGTGTCTTTGTGTAGTTTCTTAGCATTCTGTCTTTTCTGTACATGTTTTGTTAGATTTATACCTATGTATTTATACTTTTTTTGTGTAGTGGTAAATGATACTGTGTTTTTAAATTTGGTGTCTTTGTGTACATGACTAGTATATAGAATAATGACTAATTTTCACGTACACTTATTCTAGTATTTTTTTGTTTTTTGTTTTTAATGATTTCTTGATTTTTCTACATAAATAATCATGATATCTGCAAATAAATAGAATTTTATTTCTTCCTTTCTGATATGTATGTCTTTTTTCCCCCTTGCCTTATTATGCTTGCTGTATCCTCCATTAACATGTGGAATGAGAGTGGTGAGAGTGAACATTTTTGTTCTCTTTCTGTTATTACTGAGAAAGCAGTTAGTCTTTTACTAAATGTTAGTTGTAAGTTTTTTGTAAATGTTTTTTTTCAAGTTGAGGAAGTTTTTCATTCTTAGATTACTGAGAATTTTTATCATGCATGGATATTGAATTTTATCAAATGCTTTTACTGCATCAATTGATATGGTCATGAGATTTTTCTTC